AAGAGGGGGAGGAAAAGGCTTGTCGACTCATCCACTCCCTCTAGGCCATCAGCGCAGCAATGGTGGATGCAGAGAATTATGTATTAAAATGAATACTCTGACATAAATAGATATAAGTATCCTAATTTGAAAAATTATGGCTTTATAAGAGAAGAGGTTCATTTAACTAGAGACTGCAGCTTGAGTCCTGTGATGCTTAAAGTTCCTCATATGGTGGTGTCTGTTGTCTTCTGCTAGCAACGGTGGAGCCCATAAACAGTAGTGAATACTGTTAAATTAATGAAGTTAAACAGATAGACTGTGATATTGCTCAAAGCAAAGATCGCCTGATACTGAGGTATAAAGGTGTTTGCATGCAGTGTCTCTAGAGTGATGCCAGAAAGAGGTTGGGCATCCACCCACTCACCAATCTCATGGATAGCACAGCCTCCTAGGAACAAACACAGGCTCTTGGCTGTTTGCAGGGATGTGCAGAGATACCGCCTGACAGCCTGTCAGCACAGCATGCAAACATGTCTGTGTGAAGACCGGATAGTGACAGTCCCGATGCAGAGAAGCTGATGTGATCCCGGTGTGGTGGTCAGTGTCACCCCTGTGTTAAACTCATGTGCAGAGTCCTGCAACAGTATTCAAACAATCTGTTTCTGGATCAGAATGACAGTCCCCCTGAGTTCAGCTCTGAATCCCACGTCAAGAGAGTACATTAGTTCCTTGATGTAGAATATATCTGCTCTCCCAGCCACCTTCTGGTTTGTCAGCTCTCTGGTAGTAGTAGTTCAATCAGCCATCAGAAATACAGTATGTATTGGCTATAGGACTACAGGCCCCAAGATCCTATGCTGTCAGAAGAACTGGATCCACTCTGCTAACAGGAAGTGGTGCAGTGGTCCTAGTCCTGGGTGCTAGGGGGAAAAGGATCAATCATAGTCTCATCTGTAAATGTCCCTGAAAGGTAAAATGATATAGCCGGCACCTGGCTACAATACTATAAAACAGGGATCTCCAAACTGTGACCCAAGGGCCAGATGTGGCCCTTTGCTGTCCTTTACATGGCCCTTCGGGCACTATTCCTCGCAGTGACACCAACAGTGGGGCACAATTTCTTCCACTCATATCAATGATGCGATACTATTCCGCCTACTAATACCAATGAAGGGGCACTACTCCTCTTACAACTGACCACCAAACCCGAGGCCATGTTTATTCTCACTGATGCTGGGCCTGGGACATTTTCTACCCCCACAAGTCACAATCTGGCCCTCGTAAAGTTTGAAGGACAGTAAACTGGCCCTTTGTTTGAAAAGTTTGGAGACCCTTGCTATAAAAAAAACAGAATGTGAAATATATTTGTCCATGGGTAAGAAGGACCTCTGTTTGTACTATAGGAAAGTGTGTGTGCAAGTTGGTTTACTCCAAAATTCTTTTAGTAGAGGTAGACTCCACACCGCTGTCAGCCAGAAACGGTTGCTCATGTACTATGTATTGACTAAAGCATCGCCATATGAATTAATGCAAATTATCTTTGTATTGATATATGATTATGAGGTTTACTGATCACCAGTTAGAACATGCCAGCAATTGGAATGTTAAACAGAATACGGAAGGGTCTAATTTTTCCAAGATTGCCATAAGGCCAAAGACCTTTGTCCTCATGACAAAGTACAACTTAGGGGAAGACATATTAGATTTCAAAATGGACCTGAGGCTAAATCAAGTGCCTATACAGAAGTCAGCACAAAGTGTATATCTAAACTGATTTCTACATACAGCTCAACCACTTTCCGTCCGGCCCATGTATATAAACGGCCAGAAGGGAGTAGAGCAGGAGCGGGTTGCCGTTCATAAATGACTCCCGCATTTTCAGCCTGTGCATGCTCCCTGGGAGCGTGCGGCACCACGATCCAATCAATGTACGGGACTTCTGTGTGAGGTCCCGATCATGTGATCACTGATTGACAATCAGTGATCACATGCATAGTAGTAAGCAAGATGTCACTTCTGACATCATTGTTTACTACGTGTGAAATCTGTGAATGATCACGGAGGTCACATGGTACAAGGCTATTCACAACAGCCTTGCACCATGTGACAAGCTGTGACCAATCACAGTTCTCACAGTATTTCTCAATGGCTGCAAGACTGCAGCCAGAGAGAAGGAGAAACGATTGCTTTTACAGCCTTTATGGGTGTAAAAGCAATCAGTGTAAAAAAAAAAAAATCTTCATCACCCCCCAGAAGTAGTACAGTGTCACTATGGTGACACTGTACTGCTAGGGTGACAGTATGTTAAAAAAAAACCATAAATAATAATATAAAAAAAAAAAATAAAAATGTAAAAATTTTTTTTTTAAAATTATAATTTTTGGTTATAAACTAATTTGGGTAATTTTTTTTTTACTAAAAAGATAGGTGAATACATTTTGGCCAAGATTTATGAAGAACATTTTTCACAATTTTTTGGACTTTTTAATTTATATAGCAAAAAAAAAAAATATAAATCCCAGTTCTGAATAAATACCACCGAAGTTTTATCTATCTAAAAAAATGCTAAAAAATTCATATGGGTACAGTGTTGCATGACCGCACAATTGTCATTTAAAGTGTGACAGCACTGAAAGCTGAAAATTGGCCTGGACAGGAAGGGAGTGAAAGTATCTGGACTTGAATTGTTAAAATCCAAATTGCAAAAGGAGGAATACCTACACTGAACATGAACATTTTGAAAATATAGGAAAAAATCAACAACTTTTTTTGCAGTGGCTTTAATGAGAATGTAGCATGGCTTAGGCTGAGAATACAGACTGGTCCGGGTCATGATTTGGCCAGAAAAAAAGTTAAAACCTCCATAGCATGTCCATACCAGCAGAAACACTGGGTGATGGGTGGGCTTGCTGTCAGATATCAGTCCACAGTAACTTCACACAAAAAGAATCTGCATTTCAGTTTCTATAAAGGAATACACTATATACTATATACTAAAACACCAAAGTCACTGTAAAAAAGAGAAAAAAGTTAGCAACTAATCAACCTATTGATATTGCCAAGAGCTTAGTTAAAATGTCAATCCCAGTAAAGAAGAGATACAATAATTCTTTTAGAATTACTGAAGTGATTTGAATGTCCAATGAGCAACTTGTCTTTATAGAAAGTGACCCAATCAATAAATTCTGTACTGAACAAAATCTCTGTTTCACGACCAATTAATTCTTCAACACTCTTCTTTTTACACTGGAAAGTTCATTTAATCCTCCTCCTATCACCAATGGCATGACATCAAGTAGGCATTTATTTAAATTCTGGCACCACTGCCTGCACAGCTCCTAGCACTGACTGCCAATTGCAAGCTGATATTTTATCCTGATTGTTTTGTGGGACAAGCTCTTTTCCTTTGTGCATTTTCTGTATGCCAAAATGCAACTGTTCTGTTTTTCGTATGCCTCACATCGAAAGTATTTATACAGATGCAATAAATGCAATGAAAAGTTATTTTAAAAATTGTAGTAGTTTTCTTTTATTAAGTCGTCAGTTTAAATTTCACTGGTAATTTAGTCACGTGTGGGGCAGCACAGTGGCTAAATGGTTAGCACTTCCACCTGGCAGTACTAGGGTCATTGGTTCAAATTCCAACCATGGCACCACCTGCCTGGAGTTTGCATGTTCTCCCTGTGCCTGCGTGGGTTTCCTCCAGTTTCCTCCCACCCTCCAAAGACATGCTGATGGGTTAATTGAATCCGGTCTAAATTGGTGCTAGTACATATATGTAAATTGATGGCACTATATAAGTACCTGTAATAAATAAAACAGTTTTCAATGTACTATATACTGTATCTAATTCAACAGATCAACAGTACAACCATTGGTTCTTCCACTTATGCCAGGGTGCTAGGCGTAATCCTAGACTCTGACCTCTCCTTATGGCCCCACATCCACTCACTGGCTAAATCCTGCCGCCTCAACCTCCAGAACATTTCCAAAATCAGCCCCTTCCTGACCAATGACACGACAAAACAACTTATCCATGCCTTGGTTATATCCCGCCTCGATTACTGCAATTCCCTCCTCACTGGTCTACCGTTACACAGGCTATCCCCCTTCAGTCTATCATGAATGCTGCTGCTAGACTCATCCACCTTACCAACCGATCAACGACTGCTGCCCCTCTCTGCCAATCCCTCCACTGGCTTCCACTAACCCAACGTATAAAATTCAAAATACTAACCACAACTTACAAAGCCACCCATAACACTGCCCCTAGCTACATCACCAACCTCATCCACACATACCGCCCACTCCGCTCCTCCCATGATATCTTCCTCTCTAGCTCCCTCATCACCTCCTCCGATGCTCACCTCCAGAGCCTCTCCCATCCTCTGGAACTCCCTACCACAGCATGTCCGGTCAGCCCCCACCCTGTCTGCCTTTAGGCGATCTTTGAAAACTCACTTCTTCAGGGAAGACTACCCCACCTCCACCTAAGAACTGTACTTGTATCACCTCCGCCAGATCATCCCCTGCAGTTATCACCTTTTGTATCACCTCCCCCTTCCTTTAGATTGTAAGCTCCACGAGCAGGGCCCTCCTATTCCTTCTGTACTGAAATGTATTGGAATTGTACTGTCTCCCTTATATTGTAAAGCACTCCGCAAACTGTTGGCGCTATATAAATCCTGTATAATATAATAATAATAATTAGTTCTTTCAGTGCTTAAAGTGTTACTGAACGCACAACAGTAAAATCAGTCTGTATATGCAATAATGCATGCTTGTTATACTCACTGTGGAACTTAAGGGGTTAATCCTCCACATTGTGTAAAAAGGATGTTTGATCCTATCTTCTCTGATCCTCCCCTTCTTCTACTGTCCCTAATCCATCTGCTGATAGAACAGAGCCTTGGGGGCAAGCTGCACATGCTTTGTTTGGTGTGTATTGCTAGAGTTTTGTTTACTTGGGAGAATGCATGTGATCAGCACAGGGCCAATCAGCACTGTCCAGACAGAGTTCAGGGATTTTGCATCCTCCTAGAGCAGAAAGAAAACTCCTACAAGCTGTAACCAGGTCTCTGCTGGACACTGATAGAAGTCACAAGACTGGTCTAACTGCTGATCAGAAAAGGTATTTAGCAGTTTATATTTACTAAAATAATTGCATTTCTATGTTCTGTGTACTGTGGGAGACCAGATATAGTGAATGCACGGTCCTGGGTTTAGTAACACTTTAAACTAAAGTCACTTTTTTTTTCTTTTAGATCTAGATAGAGTGGAGAGGGATTAGAGCACCTGTCAGTTTTTTTTATTGCTGTCAGTGCCCCTTTCTATTAGTCCTGTTTACCTTTATCACCGAAACTAAAAGTAAAAGATAATCCCAAATTTTGGGTTGTTCCCAGAACAGGAATAGGGGGTGTGATGAACATGGTGCCCGACCCTGCCCTTCTCACCAACTCATGACAAAGGACGAGCCAATCTCACACCGTGCTCTCACTTGCATAACAATGCCAGTCTCAGCTGTACCCTGCACAAAGAGTTTCGAGCTCATTGGCCCACAATCTATGTACCAGCAGCCTGAGAATGATTGTCACTGGATTAATTAATTCATTAATTAACCCTTCAAACTCCAAACTACCACCAGATAGCTGTGGGACTATCAACCCTTCACAATGTTAGCAAGAACTGATGTGAACAATATCCGTCTGTATCACACACGGTCACCAGATACAGGTATATTCAGAGGATTATTATATACAGTAGCACTCTTCAAGAGACAGGGATTCTTTAGTTTGCAGTAAAAGACTTCAAGATCATTTCAGCACTTTTCAAAATAGGGTTTATTAGTGAAAAGGTCAAATTGTGCAATTAAAATATTTACAGAAACGGATTTTACAAAGACATAATGAGAACAATAAAGCAACAGAGAAATAAAAGAAAGGATGTGAAGAAGGCAGAATACTTGCAAAGTCCTTGGTTTTAGCAGAGTCCAATTGTCCGAGCAAAAACGTTGCCGTGGCTCTCTTGGGTGTTCGTTGGTTGATATTAAATGAGAGCTCCATACTAGATCTGGTCAGCCCCTTTCTATGATGTCAAAGGGGTGTCGCTCAAGAACAACTGACCAATCATCTGGTTTAGGGGATGGGTGCTAGGAGGTCACCAAATTTATGACAAAGTCCCAACTACAGTTTCATACTAATATTAGCAACTTAAAATAAGTGCAGGTATTCTAGCAAATAGCAGATTATTATTCAGAATTATATTTCAAACCGAGGGACACCAAACACAGCATACCTTTGTCACCTAGGAGGGAGGAGACTGCTTTCTTCTCTTTCCTATGTGCTAACATAGTCATGTGTGACCTTGATTTGTTTGGTATGATATTCCATATTCAAATATATACCTAATATCAATGTTCCCTGTTCCTGTTAAATTCTATGAATTGTATGTGGAATTGTTACATTGTGGAATAGGCATTTTATGGCACGCTCTGAATTCCTAGAGCCTTAATGGGTTTACAGATCATGTGTGATGGCTTGACTGACAGCATTTTGACAGGTGGGGGTCCAGTGGTCAACACAAGTCTGACCACTGGAATGCAGGCAGACTGTGCAAGCAGAATGCAAAGAAGCAAACTGACCACTCTGGGATAGATGTTCTTCAATGCCCTGGTGTGGACAATTTGAAATAGGAAAGCAGAGGGACTAACAAGATCACCAGGTAGTTTACACAAAGGAAGCAATGCAAAGAGAACAGGTTACGTTTTAATACAAGTACATGGTAACACAGCCACATATCAATAATATTAAATATTGGGGTAACATACACTTTAATAGAGCTTTAATTCCCAATTGAATGATTACCATTTTTCCTTATTATAGTCCTGTACCAATGTACATTATACTTTTAAACTTAGACTTATTTTCACTTAGAAATGCATGAAAATACACCTTTTACTCTGAAAATTATGCTTCTTGTTTTCCTACTATAATGCTCAAGCTAGCATAGATCAATACAGCCATATTCCTCATCACAGCTTCCTCACAAATACTCTTATGTTTGAGAAATAGAAGGTGTGTTTGATCAGGCCAATTAGGGCTCTTTCAGATGGGCAGTGATAAAAATGGGCAGCTGAGCCACGGTTTTACTGCCCCCTGGCTACCCACCTGCATTTTCACAATACAGACAGACAGGGCTGCACATATGCCTTGGCCACAATGCTTTGCTTCTCAGTTGCAACATTTTTAACTTGGGATGCAGAGTTTAACAAGTGACACAGCTTTTCAAACTCACCCATTGAGTTCTATGGGGCCATGTTGCAACCATATGCAATTCCTGTGGCTGTGCAGCATCAGAGAGGTAATTCAGGCAGTGTGGAGGTGATGAGGCAGTGGAGAGGAGGTAATACCAAAGTACCATGCGGTTTGGTATGGTTCAATTTGAAAAATTGTGCCTGCCATACTTTTTATGTGCTTCCACATGCTTGACAGCCCTTTGAAAGGGATAGGCAAGCTGTCAGATATGCGGAGTGTGAAAATGCACATATAGCATGCGTTCTTGGACGCACGTATATGGTGTGAACGAGCCCTCAAGCAGGTTGATGCAGCAAAGATGGAGGTCAAATCTAGGCCAGAATGAAGCCAACTCCAGGTCAGATGCACCTGTCAATAATCTCAGCTGATCTTAAACTTATCTCAAACGCATGTTGAATTCATCTAAGGGCTCATGTACACTGCAGCTCCTAAACTGACATTCAGTGTTTTTCAGTGTTCTGCAGCCCTTGAACTCTCCCTAATGTTTTCCTATGTGTCCATGTACACATAGTCGTTTACAGTCGTTTACAGGCAATTGAGTTTACAGTAGTTTTTCTGAACGCACCAAACTTGCGTTCAGGAGTAGATTTTACCGGTGTTTCAAATGCCAAATGCTTGTAAATGTGTGTAAACACAGTTAACCGTGTTTATAAGCGTTTGCGTTTAGAAGTGTTTTTTACCTGTCCCATGTCCAGATGCTGCCCAGAGCCTATTTTCAACATCAGAAATGCATGCAAAGTGTTTTCCATGTATTCAAATAGACCTGGTACACCAGCGCAGTCAATTTCAGGTTTTGCGTGAAGAAAAAAAATGGTAGAACGTGCCGCATTATGCTCATGATGGGATCCATAGTGAATACAACCAGAAAAGACAGGTAATCCAAACACAAACTGCTCTCTCTGCATCTGCTTTCTCTATTCCTCTCAAAATGTCTGAAATAGTTAATTTTTTACTATTATTCAGTGCATTCCGGGCATTTGGGAAGGTCTCCTGAGGTTATCTTTTAAAAAAACGCTTCTATACACAAATGCACATAAACGCGGTATGCAAACTCGCCTAAACTGACGTTTTTTAACCTACGTTTTCCAGCAGTCAGTTTCCATCATTCAGAAGAGTTTTCCAAACACCCCGTGTACATGAGCCCTGAATGTTAGCTGGATTCATCCATAAAACAAGGCCAAATCCCATTAACACAGAATAACTAGCACAGAACAAGCATTTTATGCTGACTCTAGGTCTGTGACTCGTAAAGTACCTAAACTAGAGAAAGCCGAACAGCTAGCATTTTCATAAGGAGGTCAGATACAGTGTATCAGTTTAGATCTTTATTTCAGCCAAGGTTTCTGTTAGCTCTTTAATGCCTGAAGGTAAAACTAATCCTAATGCCTGAATGCAGTTCTGCAACTTTGACATGTATTATTAAAACTGTACATATCATCACAACTATTCATATATCCAGTGAATATTAAACCTTGTTATTTTAGGACAAATTGGTAGTAGGGCCAAGAAACAATAGTGTAGATGTTTCACTTTTTTTTCTACCTAAAATAAATTGATTGACCTTTCTCACTGATCAGGGTTTTTTTTTTCAGAAATAGGTACAGGTACTTATATGTATAAGTGGAACCTGCGCAGTAGACTATGGTTAGTGTATAGATGAAGCTGGCTGCTGCTAGCAATAACACAGGTATGTGAATACAAACAAATAAATGCTGCGCTGCCACTAGTGGTTAAATGCACCACACTACATATGTGATGGTGGCCCACAGATCAATGTGTAACTGTATATCATATAAAAACATAATGTGCTTAAAATGTGCTCCTCCTCCTCTTCCTCAAGTTCTCAATACATCCCTATGATTAGGAAGAAAATATAGACATTCCTAAATAACTTGCATGCATAAACAAATATTAATAAATTGTGCTACAACAGCTGTTATACACTGTCGCGTTTCGACTGTCAGGCCTTAGTTATGATCTAAGACCTGACAGCTGAAAAATGCATTGGATGTTTTACAGCTTTTTTACATGTTTTCTCAATAGAGGATAACCTTTGTTGGATGCCATTCCGAGAGCTGACTTCTTCTTTTGTGATATCTTTATATTCATTAAAAAGGAAATAGTACAGGGGCCTGTTTTACTGACTGATCACTGTTTTAGTCACTCACAGGTTATGCCAGTGGTCATGTGATCGGGAGCTGGTCCTCCTGGCTCCCGATATTTGGTAGGAGAACCAGAGCTGTTGGTGTCAACACAGTCTTTGTGCTTGGAGAGTGTTATGGAGCATATTTCCAGAGCAAATACAGATAAGAATATATATTCTGACTCGACTACAAAAATGATAAACCTTATTTCCTGTCATGTATACAGCTATACCATTTGGTGTTGAATCTATCTCTTGCATTGGGTCCGATAGTTTAACTCAATGAATAAACTCACATGTTGAGGAAGTCAGATGAGGAAACCCATTCGAATGTTCCGTTTAATAGCAAATATTCATAGGTAGAAAAATGTTAATGTTGTAAGCCTCATGGAAAGATGCATTCAGGAAGACAGGATACAGTGGAATGACTACCAGAGAGAGGCTGTAATGTACCGCCTGGCGGTACCTCTAGCAACCCATGGAATAGGATTCCCCAGAGCGCGGAGTCTAAGTCCCAGTCTGCTTGTTCACCAGGGCCCCTGATGGTGGGGATGGATTTGGAGCAGACAGAGACCAGGTCATGGCCCCTGAGTACACCCACCCATGGTAGAGGGATCCACCAGAGGTATCTGCAGGATAAGAACCTGATGTCAAGAGGTGGATGGGTCCGAGCAGGACGGATGGATGGCTGAGCAGAAGCGTGGTCAGACAGGCCGGGTCGGTAACCATGGGGACAGCGCAGTACAAGGCAGCAGGTAAAGAATAGTCGGGACACTTGCCGGGTCAGTAACGGAAGGTCAGATCCAATGAGGGGCATCCAAGGAGAGGTCAGAC